TTATTCTATCACAAATAATTTTACTTTATCTGTTGTCCTTTTTAAATATATATAATATAAATAAATATATAAATTATCTTTTAAATTTTTAATTTAAAAAATTTTTAAAATAATAATTATTTTGAAATAAATCATATTTTTTATTATATTTTTAGGTGAGATGTTCTAAATATTCCAACCTTCATTTATGAGATAGTCATGTTCTTTACGTTAGGCTGAAAGAGATCGAAGCAAGAAGTCTGGGACAAAATTTGAAGATTGAAGTATATAAAACTCAAGAAAATATTTTCCTTTTTTCACATTACCGACAAAGGAAACTTTGCCAAAGACTTGGACTCCTCTATTGAAATTAAGCAACTTGAATTTTCTGTCTGCGTTTGCACTAGACCAAAGAAATCCTGCCAAAGTTCTGGTTGTTGTGCTCGTTCTAAACCAACACGTTTGTCCTACTTAACAGAAGATTAAAAGGTTTCAACCAAGAAAAAATAACTGCCTGAAACTTCCGAAGAACAGAAAGTTGAATTTGGGGCAGTCTTTAATGTTTGCAGAATTGCATGGCGGGCAGCAAAATTATCTGTCAATTGCAATTCTCAGTTTATCATCATTCATTATGGAAATTGCATTATAGCAACGGTGATTAATCTTAGAACCTAGAGCCGACCCATTACGCCATATAAACATTCTTTGGATGGTTTTTGCAATCAACTTCTCAATTTTCACCACCTTAAAATGGTGACCATCAGCAATTGTCAGGAGACCTCGGGGTCAATGATAATGACCCTTATTTATGACCTTGAAATCATGAGTTAGTCTAAATACCTTTCCCATCTTCCCTTCTTTGACGTAAGTGTCGGGAATTCTACTCAAGGCCATAAAGATTTAATCCATCTTCACATGGAATGGTGAACAAGTGCTCCGACTTGAATAAGCAAATATAAAATTTTACCTTTGACGACTGACGTAGAAGGAATCGATCAGAGGGGGACAAATTTCATCATGTAATATCTACGTTGAGAAAAGGCACTAAAGGGGCAGCAAAAAAAAGATTTGGTGAGCCGGAGAAGTGTTCTACATATAATTCTCAAGACACCAACCCACTGTCTGGGGCAAAGATGAATGTGAAACGGAATAAAACAACGTAAGTATGACTTTTAGCCAAAAATAAATAAATGCATGAGTATGACTTTATGCACGATTCTGACTCAAAGTAAAGAAGATGAATCAAATTAAAATAATGGAGAATTCATCACTTTAATTTGTATATTTTAAATCCTAATTTGATTAACATAAAAGTGAGAGTTGAAGACAAATATGAAACGTTCATTACCTCCTTTTCAGCTTTCTGTGCCTTGTACTTCTATCAGGATTGTTCTGCCAAGGCCCTAACGGCTAAAGCACTGTTGATCGTAGCCATGACAGCAGAGCTACACTTGTCAAGCAAATAGCATGAAGTTGCAGCAAAGTGTCAAGCTAAGGGAATTAAGCGGTGTCACCTAGTTCAGTTAGTTTTTGAATATAGTTTATGTTACGTTAGTTTTTCAGTGTCAGTTTCAATTGCTGTAACGTGAACTTTTTGTAGTTTACTGTGATGTAAGCACCATGGACAAGTACAAGAGACAAGGCAGCACAATCCAAGGAATAGTTAGTCAACTCTCAACTTTTCTACTGCAACTTTTTGGTATGTACAGAAGTATGAAATAATCTGAAATGCAGTGGTTCTGCTCTCCATCTTCTTCCCCATTTTTTCTCCATTTCTTTGTGAAGAAACCAACAAGCACATCAAACTTGTGTCTTGCCATGGCGATCTTCAGGAGAACTGCATAAAATCTGAGGGAGAAGCATTTCTGAAAATTTAATCCATCAGAGAGACTTATCAAGCTGGGCCTTTATGTCAGTATTAATTACTCGATTTTTGGGGACATTGTGCAGCATTGGTCTTTGAGAATTCATGGAGGCTTGCTTATTTCCGATTCATCAATGACATGAAATATGCTTGTCTCAGTGGAGTTAGCTCGCTTGAGAAGATAGATGAAGCCCCAGAGACTAAAGGGTTTGATTTTGTTTGTGTAACAACATGAAATAATCTGATAATGGGACGTATAGCCAATCTCAAAACATCTTCACTTCTAAAGATTAAAAAAAAAAAAAAGGTTTAGTGGCAAGCATAATCAAACTCTTCAAGAGAAAAATTAAGTCACCAGCAGATTTGACACATTGAAAATATCCATTATATTAATCATAATCATAAAAGAAAGAATCATTTAAAGAAACATGAAGGCAACCAATGATTCGAAATCCATTTATTGTACTAGAATTATGCTGAAAGCCTGAAACATTTGATGGTGCCCCGCAGCTCAGACGGTGGTTGGTTTACATGGTTAGAAAACAATAACCCAAATGTTTTTTCAGAATACTATGGAACATATACTAGTAACAATCTGTATTCCCCAAAAATTGATCAGTCATCTGTTCCAAAGTAACGATCTCCGAACTCACCCATACCTGGTATGACACGGTACTCTTCATTCAATGAAACATCAATTTCCGAAGTGACAATTTTCAATGATGGGAAACGTTTGCAGACACAATGGATTCCCTCGGGGGCCTGAAGTAAACAAAATAAAAGTAGGATCAGCATGTCTGGGAAAAAATGTAGGGGGTGAGAAAGGAAAATGTGGGGTGTAAGCATCCAAAACAACTCACGGATATTAGGTTCAGGAATATAATGTGGGATTCTGGTACTCCTTTCTGTATCAACAGTTCAATGGCTTGGTTGGCAGAGTTCCCTACAGGAAAAGTGAACAAGGTTGGTTTTTCGTTATTGGGCATAAATGAGTGAAGATAGAAAAGTTTATAACATTTCCTATTTCTTCCCAAAGTCATATTTTCCTCTCAAGCAGTTATTTCATTAACATAAGGAGAATTAAGGGCAAAACTTCTTAGGTTCTAATCCATTAGCCTATTCTTGAAATGATGCACAAAGACAGATATCAGAACTGGGAAAGAACTACAAACTTAAGGAATCAAGAGAAGCTTTACCTGTAGCAAGAACTGGATCCAAAAGCAGTACATGCCGTTCAGAGATATCCTTGGGAAGTTTTTCATATATTAGCTACAAAATATGAGATATAACGTATTGTTCAAGTTAACTCTACATAACATTTAAGCAACATTTCTACCGGTAGGCTGTCTTTTCCAACAAAATAACATTAGTTACCTGTTTGCCATTATCCCCATCACGGTGAATCAGAATTTTTCCAATTTTTATTCCTTTGCAACATGCACGTAATGCATTTTCCATGCTTTCACCACTGCCATTTAACAAACCAGAAAAGACTAGTTAGTTGCAAAATAAAAACCTATACAGGTGACTAAAACTAAAAATCAAAAGAAAATTCTTCATCTATCAAGGCTCAGAATGTGCCCCACAATCAGAAAAACACAATGGAGGAAGAACTTGAGGTATCATCAAAGCTTTATAATAGAAGACAAATCTTGCCCAGAGTCCCCAATTTCAAGCAAACTTAACCAAGTCTCATTGCCACAAAACAAGAACTGACAAAATCAAATACCAAATTCAAAGCTCACCTTCGAACAATGGACACCCCACACAGCTTCTTGCAAAAATCAACCCCAGTATATACTGATCCTGAAAAGAAACAGTGGCAAATTTTAAAATTTGCAGAAGGTTATTAAGCACCAGCGTTTAAATTCCAGATATTAAAAGCAACCCACACAGAAGCACAAGCACACGCAGAGAGGCATATACCGGTAGATGAAACAGAGAGAAACTCACTGCTTGAAAAGGCACTTTTAAAATCCATGTGATTTACAAAGTAACATCCATAAATCAGTTAACATTTTAGCATAAATAGTTTCCTCCAGTTTCCATTTGAATATTCCCCAAATTGGCCATTGAAAAAACCAGACTGGACATGAAATGAACTTGAACCCCACTTTCTCTTTCTCCCTTGTATACCTGTTGGTGTAACTACTTGTTTCTCATTGAATGGCAGATCTCCAAGACCATGCTCCACAACCTAAGTCAAAATGAATGAAACCAGAAATATTTTAAACTTCAAGGACCATAGGATCTAATCCCTCTTTGAAGGATAGATCATTGTTCAACCTATGAAGCAGAACATACCAGACGAATAAGGCGATCAGAATAAAAGACAAAGTCATGCTTTGAAATCTCCCGATCTCGGATCAGAGTATGCATCCCTCTTATCTGAACCGCAAGTCTCATATATCAGATATAAAATTGAAATAGAGAACTTTAAGGAACAGAATTGCCGCCATCAATTTAATGAGCAAAACCAATCACCATGCCAGACCTAAACCACTCCATATGCCCTGTTTTCTATCCTTTTTGTTTCAACCATTTACACAGAAATTGAAGACACAATGACATCCAAGTCTTCAATAACTAGCATCAATTTCATTTTTCTCCAACCATTAGGCTCTACTACTTAATGATGCATACCATCAGGCATTGTGGTTCATCAATCATTTATCTAAATACTTGAGAGGTTGAGGTCCATCAAAGACATAGACGACAATTTATATTAGAGAAAGAAATTCAGCTAGCAAACACACACGAACATCTAAAGAAAGTAAAATGAAACAGGTGAATACAAATTAATAACAATACCAGAGTGGCAGCATTAACATGAGATATACCTGAAATGTTGACTGACTCACTGTAACGTTGGGATATATTTTGCAAAGGTCATGCTGACCAAGCTTAGTGCGGAGATGTTGAACAATCAAATCAATGGCAACATGATTATCACCTCCCCGGGGAATGATCACATCAGCATACTTCTTTGATGGCAGAATGAAATCATCAAATGCAGGCTTCACAAACTTTGCATACTGCATTGAAGAGACATTGGTTTTCAATTACATCAGAAGAAATCACAACCATAATACAAAATTATTATTCATCAGCTTAACTCAAATCTCACACCACTAATTTGGACACAGGTGTTACCTAAGTAGAAGTCTTCTGTTTCACAACAAGCAAACCAGAGAAAATATTTTAATTTACATCACTCTGCAGTCACTGTCTTTTGAGATGTTCACAGTAAACACACAATAAATGACAAAATTATCAATACCATGAATAAATAGTTTAAATGATGCTGCACATTAAGGAAAGTATAATTTCTTTTGGTGACAATATAAAAACCTCAGGATTTTCCGAGTATTAACTTGATAACAATGCATATGATAAAGGATTACCTGTTCAAGTACAGAGTTTACATCCCGACCCCTCTCAACTGTATCACGCCTGATTCTACGAGCAAGCCTCACATCAGCATCTACAGGTGACAGATTGCCAAATAAAACAATGAACCATCAGGACTGGCGAATAATAACATTGGCCTAGAGAGAGGAGATGGAAAGCAAGGTGCACATGTTTACAAGTAAACTCAGTAATTAATTAAGATTAATGTCATTAATAGTAATGGAACTTGGACTTGGGAAAAAGCAAATGGTACAACAGGCTGACCTAGAAATCAATTAAGACAAATCTACTATAAATGAAAGAGGATGCCAATGATCATAAGAAACAATTGAACAAGGTCAAACCTGTATCTACAAAAATCTTCATATTCATAAGGTTGCGGACACGCCGGTCATGAAAAACAAGAATTCCCTCCAAGATAATAACATCTGATACATTTACCTGATAATGAATTCAGATTAATGTTCTTTAAAAGGAAACATACATATAAGACAAATTAAAATGTTTTAATTGTAGATGCACCAAATAGAACTGAGAGTGAGCTTTCTGAATAATCATTGATAAATTGAGAAAAACGAACAAACAAAGTCATAGAAACCACGACCGAAAAAAGCTAAAGGCTATGTAACAAGCAAGAAGTAAAATCCATGCAGAACAGATTTGATATGTTACTCATAAGAACCTCAAATAGAAATATATAATCAGATAAGGGAAAAAGTAGAGACACATGTTGAAGTCACATGCCCAAAGAGCACAATGTATGCTATAAATAGAAGGTCCTCATCTACACAGCTAGGTAACTCTTATGCACATAAAATTAATGCATATACAGAGTTCAAAACATAGTAAACATGCACACCTGACGGAAACTATCTGAGCACCGACGATGTGTCTTAAAATCATAAATTGGAACTTGGTAAGAGTGTCCACTCTTGAGCTTCTGAATGCAATCTAATAGCTGCTCAGTGTCGAAAGCATCTATGGGGAAAAAAATTATAACAGATTAATAATCAAGAAAGAAAAACAACCATTGGAAGTAGCAAACAACCAAAACAGACAGATCAATCAATACCAGGGTGATCAAAATTATACTCATGCACACGTTTTGATTCTTCAGGTGTTAAACCACGGTAGAAAGAATCCTACATATAATTTACGCCAAATGATGGTTCAGTAATAATATAGATCTACTGAAATTATACAAGGAGAAGCATGGAGGCCACAATAGCAGACCTGATTGACAAGAACAACACGATGATCATGAAGCTGTTGGATGATCATGTCACATACTGTTGTTTTACCTGAAGCTGTACCTCCTGAGACTCCTGCTCAGTTACCCATAGAGACACAATTAAATGCACAAGATAACCATGGAAATACTACTAACATCAATTTTCATGAATGCTACTCAAATAGACAGAGTGAAAAGGAATAGCATTTACTGTTAAACATTCATAGCAAAAATTTTTAAAAATTTTTGAAATATCAAGAACACAAAAAAAGAACTCCAATAATCAGGATATTTATCAGATCACCGACTCAAATGCTAACTTTTGCCCTTGAAAACGCAAGAAAAAAATTGCATCTAGTTACAATTTCCTTTTTCTCATGACAAAGTAAAAATGAAGCTAGAAATAGATCCCAAATGATGCATCTTGGGGGTGGAGAAAATTGCTTAAACTCAGACCACAAGCCAAGAAACTTATGCTGCATTCACTTGGTGATGGGGAGGATACCTTTCTTTGGTTGGATCATTGGCACCCTTCAGGTCCCTTAATAGATGTATGTGGTGATAGTGTTGTGAAGAGTTCAGGATTGCCATACAATGCAAAGGTATCAGCTGTTATGCAAGGAAACTGCTGGAATTGGCCCTTAGCTCGATCCCAACAGCTTGTTCAGATCCAAATGGCCCTTTTTGATAAGCTCTACTGATAGGAAGGGGTAAAGGATTCTGTAATCTGGTTACTGTCTAGATCAGGCACTTTCAATATAGGAAGTACATGGCATTGGCTAAGGGAACGACAGAACAAAGTCCCATGGCATAGACTGGTTTGGTTCTCACAATCAATCCCTAAACACAGCTTCATTAGTTGGTTGGCAATACGTGACAGATTGACTACAAGAGCTAGGCAAAAGAAATGGGCAGCCAAGATAAATGATACATGTCTATTTTGCAATTCTGAGGCAGAAGCAAGTGCACACCTCTTTTTTAAGTGCAGCTACACAAAGCAAGTTTGGCACAAATTATGTGAAATGGCAGGAATTCCTTTCACTGATGCGTGGCAAAAATTATTAGCATGGATGGGGAAGAAAGTTAGAAGGAAGTCACTGTACAATGTTCTCATTAAGTTGGCATGGACTGTAGCAGTTTCCCACATTTGGAGAGAAAGGAATGGGCGAGTTCATCAACAAATTTTTCAGTCAATGGAAATAATTGTTCGAGATATTCAGTTTGATGTCAGGAATAAAATTGTAGGCTTTGCTAAGCCTAAAACTTCCCCTTTGTCCATGGATATTGCAAAAAGATGAGGCATTGAGGCTGTTGTAAAGGATTGAGTACAGTAGAGTTGTGCTGAGTTTTACTTGATTGGTTGTAGCAGCAAATTGCTGCTCATGTATATTACAGTTACTGGATAAATAAAGATCTTACATTTTATCCAAAAAAAAAGCTAGAAATATATTTTTAAAAAAATATTGCAAAGCCAGGAAACATGATCGGATAAGCTAAATCAGCAAGAGCAATAAAAATAAATTCTAAAAATTAAGAAAATTTTCGAATTTTCTTATTGAAAACATCGGTCCATTGCAATTGCATGAAGCCAGAGAGAAGCAAACACATGCAATCGATGAATCGAAATGACTTCAATAAAGGAAAGAGGAAAGGAAAATGTTATTGTTTCTCCTTTCCGAAACCAAGTGAATAGAGGATATTACCAATGACGAAGGGCTGCCTGGGAGCATTGGCGTCGGCGAAAGCGGCGGAGGGAGTACGGAAGCCGGAGAAGTGCGGCCCCAAGGCCTTCTCCATCACGTAATCTATCCACGTCTCCACGTCTCCTCTGGCCTCCGGCGTCTTTCAAAAACTCCGGAATCCGAAACTGAAACAGAAATCCGTTACACAGCAGGAGGAGCTCCAAGCCTCCAACTGCAAGTAGTTGGTCAACTTGCTGTTCCGGCTGCGTATCCATTATCAGTCAAAGGCGCGTAAGTTTCACGCTTCTTATCCTTTTTTATTATTTCT